TAATTTTGTTTAATTTATTTTTTTCTACTTTTTCTTGCTTTTTCTACTTTATTTACTTCTAATCCTACAGTGTCTATTGAATCAAAAGTAGCTATTAAAAAATCCAAGTCATAGCCCTTCAGTACTACATTCACTGTTAAGCCTCTACAAAATCCTAAAGTACATAGTCAGAGTCTAAAAGTTCTGAGGTGACTTCTGGATTTGTAGAAAAGGCTTCTTACTACAAATCCTACTTGTTACTCATCATTACTCTAATGACCTGACAGATGTACTATTACTTCTGTAGGCAGTCCTTAATTTAGTGTCCTGACTTTCTGTAGGTAAAGTATGCTCCTTACTTTCAGGCTTCTCTAATGTTTATCAGAATAGATTGATTGTGAATTATAGGCAGATTGATCTGAGGGCTTAGAACTGTTAGAGCTAGACACATGTGTAAACATTCTACACAGACTTGACACATCTGAGCTACAGCTTAGTTGAAGGAAATGGTGTGTATCTTCTACTTAGTGTAAGTAACTAGTTCTAGCATTATTCTGAGAATCTTATCAACTAGTTCTAAGTAAAGAGCTTTTTTAAGCATTCTAATAAGAACATTATCAAACCTGAGCACAAATCCTGCCTTCTAGGCTAGGATATTGAACTCCTGAAAGAAGGCATTAGTAGAATGTTTGCTCTGTCACAGAGACACAAGCTTGTTCTGTGTATTGTACTTCTTATTTAGATTAATGAAGGAAGTACAGAGCTGCCTCATGAATTCTGAATATGACTCATTGTTCTGAAGTTGGATCAGGCTTCCAATCTAATAGCCTTTGATCCAGTTCTGGGCCCAGGTGGCTGTGTTGCCTTCCTTTATGAAGGAGAGGACAAATAGGACATGATTAAGATCTGAGGATAGATTGGTTAAAATAGTAACTATGTATAGTTTGACTTGGTACTGGAAGTCCTTAAAGTGCTGCCTATTAAAGTCTAAAGGGCAGGCTATATACACTTTCTTTCCAGAACAGGTTGCAACTTCTGGAACAATCAGAACAGGTTCCAAAGTAGTTAAGGGTATGTAGTTAGTAAAGGTCTCTTAGATAGAGGTCTGTATGTATTAAGCTAGTTCTGCTTGTAACTGCTAATCTGGCAGGACAGTAGGGGTGGCAGTCAGTGTAAGAGGGTTCATGTTTACACTACAAAGGAATCAGTACTAAACTAAAAGGGGTAATGAATAGAAGAAGGGTGGCAAAAGTTTAATAGGGTTTAGAAAGTTTAAAATTTAAAAATGTAAAAGGGTTAGGACAAAGAAAAGAGATTGACACAACAGTGAGTACTAATGCTTGAAACATAGGAGAGTTGTAGGGTGGTAATAGGTAGTCTTGATCTGATGTCAGTAACAGTATAGAGGGGACCTGAAGGCTCAGTAAGGGGACCCAGGCTACAACTATCTTATACAACAGAAATACAGAATGTAAGTACTAGAACATAGTCAGAACTTGCAGAACAGGCAGATAGAGAGAGTGAGACAAGAGTAGAGTATATAGAGTAAGCCTAAGAGTACAGGACTACCTGGAGTAGACAAGATCAAGACTACAGGACCAGTCTGATCTTGTACACCTATATATACTAAACTATACAAGAGTACTCAGGGAGTATGAGCCACTAAGAATGATAAGCCACAAAGAATGAAAGAAAGGAATGTCAAAGATAAAGGTACAAAGAATGAAGGGATGGACAAAGGGTAAGAGACCATAGAATGAACAAAGAATGAAGGGGTGGTCAAAGGAATGGAATGATGAAGTAAGGAAGGGTAGTAGTAAGAGTTAGCATGCATATAGTCCATAGACAGTGCTCCTAAGGGACAGAAGTCCTGAGTTCTGGTATGGAAGGGTGCAGAACCCTCAGAACTGAAGGTATGAGAGTGGAGAATCGTAACAAACAGTAGTTGATTGGTTATAATATTTATAAAA